ACAATAATAGTAGAGGTGGCATCTTGGAACCTGATGGTATTGTAGAAATCAAATTCCGTAACAAGGACATCGTGAAGACTATGCATAGAGTTGATCTCGTTATAATAAAATTAAAAGTACGTAAACGCGATTCCTTATCTTTTTATATCAAACTCTTGATATTACATTTATATAACGTTTATGTAATTGTGTATGTTTCTAAAGGAAAAATTAACAATAGTAAACACAACGGAGGAACGCGCCGAGATCGAAGCGCAAATTCGCAAGCGCGAACAGATTTTGGAGCCAATTTATCGTCAAGTCGCTGTTTATTTCGCTGATTTGCACGATACGCCGGAGAGAATGTTCGAAAAGAATACAATTCAGGAGATAATACCATGGAAAAAAGCGCGTCAGCTATTTTATTGGCGATTACGACGGCGACTTTTTGAAGAGGAAATTAAGACTGAAATTCTATTAACGCAGCCTAGTTTCGACGTCAGACAAGTGGAAGCGATGCTTCGACGTTGGTTCATCGAAGACAAGGGAGCAACGGAGTCATATTTGTGGGATCAAGACGAAGCTGCAGCTTGTTGGTTGGAAGCTCAATGTAAAACCGATGATAGTGTGGTATCGCGCAATATAACGTGTGTGAAGAGAGACGCGGTAGTAACGCGAATCAAGGAAGCTTTGGAAATCTGTCCGGAAATAAGATTGAACGCAGTGCTGGAAATTGCGCACAGATTGCAACCAGCTGAACGAGCAGAGTTGCAAAGAACTTTATCGCAGTTAGAGACTGCAGGACAGGAGCATCACAAGGACTCAGGCGTTTCATCCTGAGTGCATTTCGCGTAAACGTACCTGCTCCATGTTATGTATTCATTCCAACTTATTAACATTTAAACGCACATCAATAGTACAATTCATCTTCAAAGACATATATAATTATTCATATTAATGCAAATCTCTTCTGGTATCAAGGAGAACTGAATAGATACTTCGAATAAATAATGTTTCATAAAACCTAAATTTTTCAAATATTGATTGGAACAATCATTTCTTTTTAACATTAAATGTCGAGGTATTTCGACGATTTAAATTTCGATTTTATTTAAATTAAGTTTTATTTAAAAATTGATGATATAAGAAATTCAAAGTACACTAGAAGAAATAGTGTGTTTGATTAATTTATTAAATGATTTTTTTTAATCTTTTTAATGCAAAGTGCTTCATATATTCGAAGATATTTAAGAAAAAATAAAAAAAACGCGTCAATGCCATTCTGACTACTTACAGATTATAATTGTATACGGGAAATCAAGAAGATTTATACCTAAGATATCGGACGTTCGCTCCTTGAAATTTTGATTGTTCTCGTAGAAGAATTTGCTAGATTTTTTTTAGTCTATTGAACTTTCAGAAATTGAACATTTTTATATTCGACTGTAAATATGAAAATTTGTATTGCAGTAAATTAACATGAACGTTAACAACAATCAAGAGCTAATAATTTATAACAGCATGTCTTGGAGCGCGCGCACGTGTATCTTAATTTTAAATATTCCACAATCTTTTGATTAATATTTGATTAGCAAGATTCACCAGTTTGGGACAGCCTGTATCATATATCTAAAAGAATATGTTAATTTATTAAATGTGTGATATTCTGTATATAATTATACATACACGTGCGCGCACAAATATATAAAGTATATTTTTCAAAGAAAAACGTTGTGGGAAACTTTAACATTATGGACAATATGCCGCATTTAAATAACATAATCTCACGATAGATGCGAAAATGTACATTTTATGTCCTTTTTTCTTCATGTTAATTTCTTTTCTTTGCGTTT